GCAAGCTACAGAACACAAAACACCTTCTCTGTTGAGTCTTGATTTTTGTATGATATATAACACTTCTTAGTGCCCTTAATAAACAAAAATCACAACAACGGAAAACACATTGTGTATTCTGACGAGACATTTGAATGCAGACAGATGAAACATGATGGTTATTCTATCAATTGATATATGTCACATGCTTCTCAAATATTAATTAACATAATTACAGTTATTTAAAATGATATACTGTGTCTTCCAAAATAAATGCTATTTCTTAAATACACATTTCTAATGCTGAAACAAACTGGACAACATTATTTTTGTCTAATAGAAAATATTTTGGAAGTATTAAATAATGTGCAAAAACACATTCAACTAAATTTTGATTATTTTTTTGCTTGTAATATATATCTACATTTCAATTAAAAAAAACTACATTTTTCTTTATTGTTTTCATATTAATAAAAGATTACATTATATCTCCAAAAATCAATATCAATAAAGTACACTTGTTTTAATGCATTCACTTTAACAACATTAAAATTTATGTTTTTAAATAGTTTTAAAAAAAGATAGATTTATTTCATTTTAAATCAGTATATTTATGAAATGATATCTAAATTAAAAAAAAGAATTGATATGGCATGGAGAAGAAACAGCTTGAAGACATACATTTCACCAGACTGTGACATCTATCAAAAAGGCAGAAGAATAATTCAAAGATAAATTTCAGAAAATAATTACTTTCACTTTAAAAATAAAGAAAACATTAATTATATTGAAATGTTTATTAACTTTAATAAATATTTCAATATGCATTTTAATATTTACCATTTAGTGTTGAAATTAATGCAAAATTTGATGCATTCATCCTTAAAAATTATATTTATAATTTAAATAATAAGTGTTTGATTGGCATTTTAATACAATAAGAGTCTTAAAAATATATAAATAATAAAGTAAATAAATACATAAATTAATATTTAAGCTAAATAATATATTCTAACTTCCAATTCTTTTTCAAAGATTCTAATTTACAGTACAATTACTGGAAATTTCTCATAACATGAGAAAATGACATCTTAACTAACTAAAAATACTGAATGATTATTTTAGTGTTTATTTCAGGGGTGAAATAAAATTATAAATGGAGAGCAAGTTAATAAGCTCTTATTAATTAATAAAACCATTTTTCATTTATTAAAACTCACTCTAACTGAAATTATTTTAAAGTGAAGTTTGTGCACATAACTTTCATATGTACATGATTATTATTTTAATGTGCATCTCAAATATGTGAAGACAACAATACAACTGCAAATTAAGAGATACTAAACACCCTTTGTAACAAGTATGGTCAAGATAAAGACTACAATAGTATGGGGCCCACCAGTGGCCAAGTGGTTCTGTTCTCTGAACACTGGGAGTTTGGTCGTGGGTTCATGCCTCACTAGGACAGACTGGCCATGTGGAGTTTTCTCCACATCTGTAATGCTGAACAGGGGTTAGTTACCCTTAAAAAGATATCCCAGAAGGCATCCCCCTAGGCAGATCGCCCAAGAGTTATGTTGCCATAACAAACATACAATGGTATGGATATGTGATGAGAAAGAAAATATGTGATGAGAAAGAAAATAAAGATTTATCCAGAGAAGTTGGCAGTATAAGATATAATTTTATGAGTTAGATCAAGGGAAAGGACATGAAACAGATCAACTTTATAAAAGCTTGATTTAAAGACACTGGGAGTGGCAGACAATGGAAGGATAAAATTGGAAGATAAAAGAATGGAAAACAGTAATGCAGCAAGAGATCTAGATTATTTGTGAAGCCATATAATGATGATTTGCTTTTTTATAACGCTTGTAGGATTTTGAAGTATGACATTTAAAACAAGTGTTTTAGAATAATAAAACTTTGCCAGATGTTAGATAAATCATCAACTACAATCATTAAATATTCCATTCCAAATTATAAATATCTCTTAATTTTATTATTCTTTCCTATTAAATATAGGCATATCTCACTTTACAGTTCTTATCAATTATGTTCACATATATCATTTTCATTGTATTGCTATTAAGAAGGTTTTCAGGCATCGTACATACTTAAAATCATATTTATACTATTGTTAAGTTGTTATATGCATTTTTACATAAAAAAAGCTATGATTCACTTTAAGGCAATATTCACTTTATACATGGTTTGGAACTTGCTAATACAGCAAGTTCCAAACCATGTGTAAAGTGAATATTGTAAAGTAAGTATTGTACACCTGTATAAATAAAAAAGATTTTGTATTACTTTATTATATCTGATAAAATTTAAATGAAAATTATTCATAAAAGTATTAATACACAAAACTGTAATTGTTTATTGCCATTTACACCATAAAAATGTATTAGAATAATAATGGCAGAGATCTTAATACAGCTATTTGGATATTTTTAAATGCAAAATTACAAAACATTATATACATGCACGGTCCAAAATGTCTAAAGAAAGCAACCCTTATACCAGAATTCACAAAATATTAATATTTTGTGAATTCTGGTATAAGGGTTGCTTTCAAATATTTGTATTAAACTTAAAATGCAAGTACTGGACTTTGACTACAGTTGTTAGTATAGAGCTTAAGTATTACAAATTTCAAATTCAATATTTACAACAATGAAATGCTTATTAGTAGTATTTATAAAATTACAATTATTCAAAATCTCTCACAATTAAACCTGTTCAGGGAAAAAGCCTAGCAGAAGAAACATCAGCACCAATTCAACTAATCACTTACAATCATCAATAGCTTACAATGCCACTCCTACACACCAACCAGCAGGAGCAAAGTCTATCTTGCTGTATTAGTTTAATAATGGTCTTTTATGCACATGATTACATTTGAACATGATTACAAATAAATAAAAATGTTTCCTAAGTAATGTTTCTACTATCATCTGGTTACAAAATATAGTAGTTTTATTTAATATTTTTAATTGTTTTTAAACTCTACATAAGGCAGCTTCACACATTTTGTATTCGTCAATTACCAAATAATTACGTATTTGTCCCCTTTGAAACGATATACTGACAAGTAGTGGAAAATGGTGAATACTGTGTTTCCCAGTTATACAATTTCTTTTTTATACTTATAATATGCTACTTGCACACATGTAATATTCCATAACTACACAGAGGTGGCATTAAGGTCTAGATGAACTGTATGTGGCTTGCAAGCCACAGTGAGTAAATATCATCTACTATCATCATTCACACTATAACAAATCACAATGAGGAAATGATCAGACCAGAATAACATTACTGACATTCTGTTATGTTTTTGTGATGTAGCAATTTACAAGCATTTAAAAAAGTACTGTTTTGCATGTTTTCTTTGTGAATAATATCTTTATTATAAAAATATTTCAACATTTTCTATAAAACTGTTTTAATCAAAATTAGTATAATTTGCAAAACCTATATAGAAAATCTAAAAATAATAGTAGTATAAAGTTTATGTAAGTATGTATGTGTGATACTATTTTTTAAGAATCTAGTCATTAAAGTATATTCTTAAATATTTAAAATCAAAATCTGATTATAAGACAACATTTTTTTAGTATTAACATTTATTTTTAAGAGAAAATCTGTTCATATTTGAAAGCATCAATTTAGAATTTAACCTTTGAGTTTATTTGTTAGTCCTTGATATTCATGTCCACATATAATTTGCTATTTTTGAAAAAATTTTTATTCCAAAAGAGCATTTTAGAGCAACTTTAAAATTAGAAGAAAAATTTTTTCTTTGGACATTCTTAAAGCATTAGTGTATTTCTGTTGTCTAACTAATTAAGTAGTCTTATTTATTTCATATATTTTTGAAACAATGCTTTATATTCAGATAAACAAGAAATGTTGTTCCTTAAGATTATTATTTCTAGAAATTTTGTACATAATCACTTTAAATACTTTAACAGGTTTTTTGAGGATACCCCAAAAAATTATCTGATAGAGTATCAAATTAAATGTATATAATATTTTCTTTAAAATTCTGATTTTTACACAATTAAATTCAACATTTGTTAAGCAAGCTCTTTGAACATAAACCCAATTCAAACAACTCTCTCAGACTAAAGCTTATGAAAACACTAAGATGCCATCCACAGTCCATACTGGAAGGGAGGGAAGAGGTTACATATGACAAGCCAGGCAAAGTTGGACAAGGGAGAGAGGAAGGATTGAACTTCAATGGACGTCCATTTTATTTCATTAAAATTTATACAGTTTATCATTTTATGAATAATAAAATGCATAAAGGTTTTGAGGGAATTGAATTTTGTTGGGGTATGGATATGTGATGAGAAAGAAAATAAAGATTTATCCAGAGAAGTTGGCAGTATAAGATATAATTTTATGAGTTAGATCAAGGGAAAGGACATGAAACAGATCAACTTTATAAAAGCTTGATTTAAAGACACTGGGNTTTATCTTTAAAATCACAGGTTTCACTTGAAGGAATATTGAATGTAGTACTTTTACAGAATTCTAAAGATAATGATATTTTAAGTAAATTTATTTATGTAGAAAAAAGTAAATACATATTTCAATTTAATTAAGAAAATTGAAGACATGTCTGTTTATTCATTACATAATTCTTTTATTATTAAAAATATTTGAAAAGTTGAAAGCTATGATTATTAATTTTGTAACAAAAGATAATAAATGTAAATACATTTATCATAGATTGAATTAAAATATATATGTATTTAATTATGTTTACATGTAATTTGTTATATTAATAAAAAATTATATTAAAATGTTAAAAATAACTTAAATCATTGAAAATTTCTTTTTAAAAAAGTATTTTGAGAAATTTTGATATTCTTTTAGAAATTTGATTGATAATTTTTAAATAACCTAAAATTTAATTCATCAATTCAGTTAAAATACAAAAGAAAATTATAATGTCTATTATTACAATAAAAAGATGAAATATATCATTTACTTTATTAAATATATAAAAATGAATTATCATCAATAATAAGTTATAATTATTGAATGTTACTTTTCAGATTAATATCAACAAGCAAAGAGAAGGAAGGAAAATCTGTCACTTCAATACAATTTAGTCTTTGTAGTCAAAACAGTAGAGAAAATATTGGTAACCATGTATGTATAGATTTGATTAAAGTTTTTTCAAAGTTTTATCATTATAAATAACTAAATTTTGATATATTTGTTACAGTATATAACATTAAAAGTAAATAATAGACAAACAGCAAAAGATTGCATTAAACTATTACTAGAACAATTAAGTCAAAATGTAAGTAACTTAGTTATATAAAGAGTTTTATCATAATATTCTTTCATTAATAATAATTAAATTTGAAATTATTTCTAATTTAGGGAATTAATGAATATCAGTTATGGATTAAATCAAGAAAAGATGATGCTCCTTATCCATTAATTGGTAAGAGATCATTTTAATGTACAGTACATAGAAATTATAATATGCTTACCAAAATTTTACATACACCCTTAAGAAGAAATTTGTTTCCAATCTTTCTTATCACTTTTATTCAAAATATATTTCAGAGAAATACTAAACTTATAATGAAAACATTTACATAAAATATTTAAACATGAAAACATGATTTTAACAATATTTATATAAAACATTTTCCACTGAAATATCTAAAATTTTTCTATTCTAAACAAAATAAGTTAAAATTTTAGACATTATCTTAAAAAAACAAACATTCTTATTTATTAAATTTATTACTTATTTGATTGTATCAGATAATGACAAAGAGCATTATTTCCTCCAATAAAAGCAAGAACATAAAAATACCCAAAATTAAAAACAATGTATAATAAATAATAATTGATTAATATACAAAAAAACAGCAAACACTTAAAAAATTTCCCGCAAAACACAAGTTACCAATTGGTACTAAAAACCAAGTTAAGCATTGTACAAGTTGTGTTTACATTTATAAATATTTCAAGTGCAGGCCATTTTCATATACAGTATATACACAGTTTGATAAATATAACTCCATTTTTATCAAAGACTGCATTGTAATAATATTGATTAAACATAGTACAATAAAAAGTAGACAGTTATAAATTTATCAGATAAAAATAGCTTAAGAAAAGTATTTTGTTTTTAGGATAATAATGATAAATTTAACAACATTTCGTCATTAAAAAGTTTAATTTATTTTTTGTGTTGTTGACATTTTGTTACTAACAATCTGTTAGAGTTATTATCCTATGAGAATTTTTATAGCAAACCGAGAAGTTTTAAATGTCATACCTCAAAATGCTTGCAAAATTTTAAAGTATGATATTTAAACAAGTGTTTTAGAATAATAAAACCTCCCCAGATGGTTTGGATTGGTTGCTGGTACCCCTATAACAGTTAAGATATTTATTTTACTTTTTGAAAACAGAGTTCTTACTTCAACTTTTCAATACAAGTAAATTATTCATGATCCAATGTGCCTCTAAAGGCAGCTCCACACACTTCATATTCACTAAATTCTGAGCAAACATTTGACTAATACCAAATACTGTGGATGATTTACTCGTGACTTCATTCAACAAATATTTGGTGTTCTCCATTTCCCACTTCTTGTTGGTATGTTGGTATATTGTGCCAAATCAAAGGGAATGAATGTAGAGCAAGCATTTGTGATTCTCACAATGAACTGATGCTTGGAAAATAACTGCGTGTGTACGTATGTCCTCATCATGTGACAAACACTTTAGCAAATATTGTGGCAAAAGGCAAATATTCATCAATTGTTGAATACTGAATGTGCAGAGCTGCTTTAATATACCATACTAGACATTCCTTCATTTGTAATAACAGAAAAACAGTAAGCAAATTGAAAGATTAAAATGAAAATACAATAACCAAACAAAATGGCAAGGAAAAACAACATAAAATACAAACTTTGGGAATGATTTTAACTGCTGAGTTGATTGTTTTAAAATGGATAAATTCTATGCCCACAATAAACATACTACCATTAAATCAAGCATTTATGTGATTTCTAATGCTTATGACTACACCCATTTTATACAAAATCAGTTAATAAAAACTACTTGCTTCTATTGTAATGATAAGAACTTTGCTTATAAATTAAAAATCTTGACAATTCTCCAAATTTAACAAAAATTTAACTCAAATTTATATTATTAGTTATAACTTTTTCAATTTGATTAATTCATTTTTCAAGTAGGAAATGAAGAAAATAATATAAGACAATGCATGTTTGAATTTAAAATGCATTACATTATGTAATGTGAGCATCTGTCACAGTCTCTCAACGATGCATATAAACTGTTCCCTTGTTATGGACTAAACTGACAACGGATGCAAGGATGTACAGTGAGACGATTCATGATATTTTATCGTTTGGATAATTATAATATTTATAAGGTCATCTGCTACCACCTGCAGCATGTGTTTCTAGTCATAGTGACTCATAAGTATTGAATATATCATCTGTATATCAAATAAAAGTAATTTTTATCTGATTAAACTAAAACTGTTTTACAATACAGAAGATTATTATTATTATTTAAATTATAAAATAATTTAATGAAGTTTGAATTATACAAATTATTTTATGTTTTTGTTTTCACTTAAATAATATAAAATTATTTGATAAAATATTTAATCTTGAGAATTTTTATTAAATCTACAGGTGGATAGAACTATTTTAAGTCTTTCTTAACTACATAATAGCTTTAAAAAATCTTAAAAAGTAATTATATACATATATACATATAATTTAAATTAGATAAACAATGTTTAATATTATGATTTTAGAAACTTAAGTTATAATTGAATAATTTTCTAAAATTGCTTTGTTTCTAAAGTAAATATTATATTTAAGCTATTACAATAAAAAAAATTTGTATTTCTCATATCAGATATCAACAACTTTAATATTTTGAATGAAATTAAAATTAAATTGAAATTCTAAATAGTAGCTTGCATTTCAATACATTAATTTTATCATCTGCTGTTTATTTATGCAAATTATTGGCAAATCAATCAAAAAATTGACAAATCAATCTGTTTATTTATGCAAATTATTGGCAATTCAACAGATGCATTGTTGAAAGCACGTCACTTTAATATGGTGACTCTCAACGTTTCTAAGGCTATGGAACATCACTCACATACTCTCTAGTACAGAGATTATTACCAATAAATTCAAACTCAATAAGCAATTCCACATTTACTGTTGTCACAAAACAATAAACTTTATTGTATTGAATAAAATAGTACATTGAAATAAATTTGCCATAAAAACTTTAAATCTTTTTATTCTTTTTGGAACACTTGGGGCAAGTCTGCAGAACCTGGGTCAAGAATCATGGCTTTAGCAGAACAAAGAACAAAACAATTAGCCGAAATTATTCAAATCGAGTAGGCAATTGACGGGAAAAGTGTAAAACACTGCTTCGTATTATAAGTACTGTATAAATCTATTTATTTAGTTTTAAGATATAATTGCTTTGTAAATAAATGTTTTAGCTTGCAGAATTCTACATAATTTACTACTAAATAAAAAAAAAAATATTCAAAATCTTAGTAGTATCACTCCATATTTTGGTATCATTTGGGCAAATATTGATTTAATCTTCCAAGATAAAAACTTTATAGAGGAATTTTTACATTCTTATAAGAAATTTTGTAAATGCTATCATCAAAATTCCAAGCTTTCAAAAATCTAGACTAGTTATGAATCAAATAAACATGGTATTAAAGTAAGTAAACAACAGTGAATTCTTTTATTCTATTCATATTTTATGTAGTCTAAGTTAGATAATGAAAAGTAGAGAAAAATTCTCAAAACACATTACGCTCTTCAATTGTATGTCGAATTCGAATGGTGGTTTCCTAGGAGCAAAAACTTTCTGGTAAACCTTTCAATAGTCTTTGGCTCTGCCCATCAGGAGTTTCCTGTAGATGGCAAAGCCTAAAAGTACTTGGATTTTGTTTATTATTTCTTCTTCAAAAAATTTGAACTGAATTAAAATTTAAGTAACAAAATAAATAAGTATATAAAATCATTCAAATTACTATCCTTTTTTTTCATTTTTATTCCAAATTTAAACTTTTCTAAAATTATATTCTTTGATAAAACATTTTGTCATAAATTTTTCACAATTTTAACCAATAAATAAATCTAGCCTAGTTAAATATCAAAAAAGAACTTTAAATTGTTAATTTGTACCCAATTTCATTATCTAATAGATTTTCTAGTTAATTATTTTTTATATATTCACAAAATATTTAATATTTAAAAATCCTTTACGTATATAAAACAAATGCAATGTCTGATAAATCCTCATTATCATTTTTTTCTTACATCTAAATAGACATAATTATATGTGTAATCAAGGTCAAGGTATAAATGTAGCCAACAGATTACAAATGTCAGTCCAGATGATCAGTCACTTAGATCATCCTCCTACATTTTAAATGTGGAGTTAAAAATAAAGAACTATAATACATATAAAAAGTGATGATATACTTATAAGTAAGCATTTTTACATTTATTCTTATTGATTCTCATCAATTATATAATGCAGCTTCATGAATCTTATAATATTTTAGAATATGGCGAAGACTCGTGGAAAAATGCACATTATACATTAATTAAACAACTTATTAAAAAAAACTTCCGAAATATTCTGTAGTTAGTGTCAATAAAAAATCAGAGGTTAATTAAATTTTTAATTACAGATTTTGGAATAATAATAATAATATATTTGCAACTAAATAATATTAAAAAAAATTAACTTTTGTACAATTTAAATATTTTTTCTTTATTAAGACAATTTACTGGTTTTCTTTATTAAGACAATTACTGGTTAAAAAGTTTAAAATGTAATAAATTTATACCTTTTATCAACATTTTAAAAAATTTCTGAATAATTTCATTTATTTAGAGCAATGACTCTCAAACTAAGATTGTCTCCCTATTGTTCATTATTTTCAGTTATTATTCTTGCATATAATTGATATTCTATCCATTAATTTCAATATAGTACAGCTTTGAAAGTACTCAAAATGTAAAAATGTTAACAAAAAACCTAAAGTTGCAAGATATTATGACTACAGCACAATTGCCACCTCAAATTTAATTTCTTTCAGGATATCTGTGTGCACTACTACTATTAAAATGAATTGCACATTATTAAAACACAGAAAAGCTTAGAATTTACATATATATTTTTATAATAAAATTAAGAAAGCTAAAGATCAGTATGCTTCTACAACATGTAGGAATACAGAATTTTTTTTACAAACTCACTCGAAAGCTTGAAACCACAGATTGAACGGCATGGAAACATTGAAGATATCAAATATTATAAACAATACATGATCAAAAGAAAAGTACGTACTAGTACATTTAATTATACATTTAATAAGCATTTTTGACAACTATAATTCTATAATAAACATTACAATTTTAAGTAGAAAACTTTAAATACAGAATGAACACAAAAATTATTCAAGAAAGAGTAAAATTGAATTA